GGCGGGGGGCGATTGCAGGGTTTCTTCAGAGCTGGCACTGCCACCAGTGCAAAACCTGCGGGTGCGCTGGGACGGGGAGATTAGAGCTGGATCCCTCCATCTCCTGGAACAGCCCTTGCTTCAGTTCCTTTTGAGACTGAACCTGGAGCAGGCTCTAGTGTCACTTGAGCTGTCCCACCCGTGTGCCCTCGGGAGAGCGACCCCTGCTGCCACCTCTGTGCTACTTCCATCCAGACCAGGAGCTGCTCTTCTCCCACCTCTGTCAGCTCCCCAGTGCCACACAACCTCTGCCCGAACCCCAGCTCCAGCCAGGCAGCATCTTCCCAGGGCCACTTTGCAGCCCCTATCAGGGTACTTTGACACATAACCCTGCGCTAAGTTTGGGTATTACAACTGAACCAGGCATGCTGAGAGCAGACCCAGCCCAGTCATGAGGGTTGCTGCTTCTGGTGGCTCTTTGCAGTCAAGAAAGCAGGTTTTCAGCCTTGACTTTACCTTTCAGGCTATATTCCCTGCCTCCCTGCATCATGATGCTCATCTGGGGGCAGGCAGGCTGGGAGCAGCCCAGTTTTTCTCTCAGCAGTTTAACCCAGGCAGCAACATGGGTCAGCAGAGGGTTTCCCAGGGCCCACCAGAGGCAATGTCTGCTCTGTGTCCAGGCAGCCCCAGCACCCATGTTTACCACCACTGTAAGGCCACAGGGTCATGAGAACGTGTACGACTTTATTGGGGTCTGACAGAGCCTTGAGGAATCCCAGAGCCTGTGCGAGCTGGGGCTAGGGAGAGGTTGGGAGCCCACCTCCGCACTCCCTGCGGGCTCTGGACACCTCCCACTGAGCAGGGCTGTCAGGCACCCGCTGCAGAGGGGCTGTGGGACAGGAAAGATTGGGGTAGCCCAGGACAGTGGCAGAAAAAGGGCAGGGATGTGGTTTGGCAGGGCAGTGCCCTTGCTCTCCCTATATGGGCTGTCAAAGACCCCTACGAGCTGGGACCGGGGTCCTGTGTGGGGTCTCTGAAGTTCAGGAACCCACCAGCCCCCCGGTGAAGGTGCAGGGCAGACACACTGGAGGGGTCTGCCCTTCTTGGTCTGGGGGAGATGACCCCCACAGTTCCCCTCCGGCAAGAATAAGCAACTCAGCCGCCAGCCCTGGCCTTAAGCTATGGGAGTGCAGGCATCTCTAGTTACCTCAGGAAGGCATCAGGGTGCTCCTGAGCTGCTCCTGGCTCTGCAGACTCAGGCTGCCTGATATTGCTTGGGCTTGTGCCATGGCAGAGCTGCAGCAGCCCCAGATCTGTCACCCGGAGCAGGGTAAGGCTGGCAGTGCTGCAGGGCTCAAACCCACCTGAGACCCCCACACTAGGCACCAGCACAGGCCAGGGATTGAGGGCCAGTTGGGCATGGGAAGGCAAGGCAGCAAATCCCTGCCTGTGCTGGATGTGGTCAGGCATCCTGCAGGGAGTCAAAAGGAAAAGGGGCTGCCTCCAAAACTCTGCTGGTCTGAGCACAGCTTCCTTGCTGGAAAGCCAAAAATAGTCTCTCTACTCAGAAGAGGCTGTAGGAGGGATCTCACCCGAAGTGCAGCCAAATACCTAGGAGGTCGTAGGACAGGCCCAGAGCAGCGCGGCTTCACTGGAACATTACCAGACCATGGAAAGGCAGGGGCTGTAGCTGAATCAGCCAATAACCCCATTGCCTCTGGGCATCTTGTCATGCCAGAGGCAGCAGAGGAACTACACTGGCTGGG